ATCATTTCCATCATTAGTCAGTAATTGTTGCTGTCATTAGTATTATGGTAATTAAGGTGTTGTAGAACGTAACATCACAGGATTGATTTAGATTGATTTAACAGTAATTGATTGTCAGCGACTGAAAGGCTTATGAATATGTCTCCAGGAGATTTGCATGTTATTGTACTGGTAATCTACTTGTAGATAAGGAGAGTTATTGTACAGAAATTAGTGCTCCACATACATCATCTATACTAACACCGTGCAGGTGGATGGTGTAATTACTGGAGGGGAATCAGAAGGCGACGGCAAAGGAGATGCTGCTGTAGATAGCACAGGAAAGCCAGTCAAGAAGCGTTCCACCTTTGACCTCCTCAAGGACACAGGCAACAAACTGCGCAGTGCATCCTACCGCAAGAAGGATAATGGTGAGAAGGACCCAGTGAAGGAGCTGCGCAGAAGAGCCACACTGAAGAGATCAAACTCACTGGATTCAGCAAGTTTCAGAGCAGTCAGCACTGAGGTAAGCCTCTTGTTTAAAGCTACTTTTGGGGCACTTTTGTTGCTTATTTTCTGTTTTATTGGGTATGGTAATGTTATGGTCTTTACGGAAAATCTAATTACTGGTTATTTTGGTTTGTGCTTATTATCAGTCTCAGAAGAGGGCATTGGGTAAGAATTGATGTCTTGAAAGGAGATGAGCAAGTCTTGGAAATAGTTTGTAGTATTCAAGTATTCTCTTCTAGTGAATCACTAGCATTATTTTCACTTTCTAATGATAACCTTTTTTCCTATTGCTTTTGGCTAATCTTACTAGCATTAAAGCTATTGTTAATATCATCAGTCAGTACTTTTTAAAATGCCTCTAATCCTGTTTCCTCAAACAGGATACAACAGACAACAAAGTTGCAAAGACAGAATCTCCGAAGAAGGGCATCCTGAAAAGACGAAACTCCTTCAGTCTGGGCAGTGCAACAACACCCATTGCCTCACCACCAGAAACTCCATACCAGACCATCACTGCAGGAGATACAAAGTGAGTCTGGTTTCTGTTATCAGTTTTTATTACTTTTGCTGCCATTTTTATGTTTTTATTATTTTAACTGTGGTTGCCTGTAGATCTATGGGCATGTTTAGTGGTTAAGCTTTCTGTGTTGTGTTGATTGATGTATTTCATTTCTTTCTGCTTTTGGTGTAACTAATGTTATTTCACTGCACAGGGCTAGGTCTGTTGAATATATTTCACTTTATCAGACACTTCATGGATGGAAGGAAAAATTAATTGGAAAAATATCTTTAGAAACTGATCGGAAAAGGGGTGGTATGAAAGGAACAGACTAAATCATATTGATAAATGATGCAAACGATAACACAGTTGTGGATAAAAGTGCGTTAAAACAAAAGCTAATTGTTACTGTCTACACATCAAGTCCTGTATTTCTGCCTGGAATATAATAATTGTATATCAGGAACAGTGAAGCTCTGTCAGGTTTTCGTTTCACGGTGTATTTTGCAGTGTTTATTATTGTTATTTTTGCATTCAATGATATGCATCAGGACATTATGAAAATTATTCTGTATTAATTGATTCTGTTGATGATGAAATTAGTTATTATTCTTGCTTGGAATATTTTGATTTTCTTTTCTCTTTTTTTTCTAGAGTCAGTCTTGTAAATAGTTATGCTTATTCTATGACATTTCTGATATTTTTAACTACTTTTGTAAATGAGCAAAAGGAGCATGAAAATCTCTAATATGTTTTACTTCAGAAGGATTATTAGTCAGAAATATTACAGCTTATGTATTATCCTTTTTGGAACATCTGTTCTCAGTGTAGTTGACATGTGTTTCATATATGCTCTTGTCTTTTAAAGAAACAGATATAGATACAAAGATGGAATATATTGTAAAATGAAAGGCATATATACAAAAGTCTCTTCCTCAAACAAAGCAATTTGTTATAAGAAATTAGTGATTCAGTTTTAGCATCAGATAACCTTACAACTTTTGTGAATATATAAAGATTTATTTCCCGAATGCACACTAAAGGGATGAGGAGGAGAGTGAGGTTGAAGGAGGAATGAGCTCTGATGCTAGGTAAAGTATTGAATTTTGTAGACTGTAGATGATCATGTGTGCATAACTTTATCCATGACTCGAATATACTAGTAGCTGTATACATTTTTGTGCACATTGTCAGACTTTTGCAGAGAACTGGAAAATATTTGAGGAATTTTTGGTATTTATGTAATGTATAAAATGTAATGTATTTTTTTAGGAAGAATTTACGAGTGTTGATGTATGGCATAATTTGTTGATTATTTGTTCCTTAAATGCTTACTAAGAGATGAAGAGGAGACAGAGTTATGTCTGAGAAAGATCTCAGATGCTCGGTAAAGTATACTTACAATTCCCTTGAATATTTTTTCTTGTGTTTTAGATTGTAGATGTTAGTGATTTTTTATTTATATTATTATTTGTTTGTTTGTTTGTTTTTATTTTGATTACTTAGAAAAATAACTTTTTTTATTGCATGAACTGTGTAACTAGGTAGATATGTTTATTTGTTTTTTCAACAATATATGATGCAAATGATATCAGGCTAAAAAAAAAAAAGTTCTTGACTGCATTATAAGATAATATTTGATGCAGGTTTGTCTTTTATATGCTTCCTAAGAGATGCAAAGGGGAGGCATATAAATCGCAGAAGAAGGTGTAAAGTTAGGTAAGGTATGGTACACGGGCGCGGTTGAAAGGTCGGGATCTTTTAATACTCTTCTCAACTTCACAACAAGTTATGCCACACCAGGAACATTACTTTTCCACCACTACAAGAATTTTGTTTTGGTGCATGTCTGTTGGTTTTGTACCTTGGACCACAAAGAGTGACCCTATGTAAGTTTCATGAGCGTTGGTTTAGAGAACCCCTCCGTGATGGAGGCTAAGACAAGAATACCTTCAAGAGAAAAAAGGTTCTTGAGAAAAGCACTCTTACTAAATTCATAGATCTCATCAAGAAAAGGAACCTATTTTCATTAGCTTAAAACATAACTCATACATTCATTTTAGTCTTAGATTAGTTTTCTGTGCGTACTCTGTATTTGACACCAGCACAGTTCCTGAGATGTGCATATCACGTTATGCATAGAAGCACATTTTCATGACATGTTCACCTGTCATTTAGCTGAATGTTCTCGACACTAGCAAAATTGTAAATTACTGTCAAATGGTGCTGTATCAAGAATTTTCCTGACTACATTGGTTTATGAATCCTCGAGGTAAGCTGTAGTGGAAACCAATCGTCAGTTGTTGGGAAGATTTTGCATGTGTAAAACTTGTAGTTGAGAAAATTATTAAAAGTTATTTTTAAAACAGGTTAATCTTTTAAATCTGCAAAGTAGATTTATTATAGTTTTATACAGAGATTCAGACCAAGATGGTCTGAAATCTACATATTCAAAGATTTATAAACAATTATCAGTCAAGAAAGGTTACTGGATCTACGACTGTAATTACACTTTCATTGTCACTTGCCTATCAGGTTTCATGGTTTGACAGTGTACTTGAAAAATCAGAAATTCAACCCATTGATCATTTTCATAGTCCACTATAAGAAGAAGCACAAAGTCATGCATTTGTTCTCAGATCATCAGTACCCATTATTAGCTGTACAGGCACATAGTCACCATCTTATATATCACTGCATTATAGATCAGTATCAGTTTTTTTATTCTGCAGAGAAAAATATTGGTTTTGGATTCAGTATTGGGATTTAAAAGTTTATAAAATATAGTGACAATAAGTCTTGTTTTTTTTATGTATGAATCTGTTCGGGAGTTATCCCCATAATCTTTCACGAACTTTTTTGGATGTGTATATATACATTTATTTTATCACATTTAATATTTTTAGTACATTAGCAGTGAGACTGTTAAAAAGTAAGGAAAGAAAGTTTGCATATGAATTTGTAAATAATGATTTGAATTTGTAAATATTGATTGGGAATGTCAGTCGAATAGGTGTTTTTACTTAATTATTTTAAGCCACCACAATTTATTTTTTTTCACAGGATATGTAAATATCAATTAGATACTAAGATGCATTTTCTCTAATTCTATCTATTTCTCTCTCTCTCTCTCTCTCTCTCTCTCTCTCTCTCTCTCTCTCTCTCTCTCTCTCTCTCTCTCTCTCTCTTAAAAATTCTGAACTCCCTTAAAAATCTTGCAGTGCTTGCTAATGCTTACCCCTATTTCCAGGCTTCGCAGTGCCTTTGAGAAGATGCGCATGAGAATGGAAAGCGCGAGTTCAATGGAATTCAAGCTCTCTCAGATCTCGCTCTTCAAGTCAAAGAAGAAGGATCAAATTATGGTTTGTATTTTGCATTTAGTTCTTTTGGATCTTTTCTCTTCCTTTTCCTTCTTTTTTAAATTGGTCTTTTGTTCTTATTACTATTTTTATGTACTATTATTATTATTGTTATTTTTATCAAAATATTATCATCAACATTACTATTATTATGATTATTAGTTTAATAAATTAATCATCCTTATTATTACTATTATCATTATCATTATTAATAATGTTATCAGTATTATTGACACTCATAGTTCTACCTTAATTTTTCTCTGATGTTCAGAGTTTAATACAAATAATGTGCTTCCTTGCAGAAAAAGCCAGTTCTGGATCTGACAGAGGAAGAGAGATCCGTCTGGGAGTTGATGGAATTGTCAAAAGAGGTGAGGGCAGTACAGAAATAAAAGGCATTATACTCTACATAGTCACTTATATTCTCTGCTAAAAAGATTCTTTTGACTGTTTGATATGGATGTGGGCTTTATTAAGTGCTATTTCAGAATGGTAGCATTGAGGATGCATAAAATTTTGTGGTTTTCCTGTTTGCTGTTTATGGCTATAATTTTATTAAAAGATTATGATGAATGGATTTTGTAGTTCATATCAGTTGTTTTTTAATGAAAATATAAAGAGAGACAGAAAGTACTGTGCTGTTAAAATTTTAAAGCATTGCAGCTTAGTTCTAAAATCATTATCAACTTTGCACATGCTTGGAATTATATCATTTACACATGTGATAAGAACTTAAAACATATTTGTCTCTTTTCAGGTGGACTTCACTAGATGCCACATTGACCCCGCACCATTCCAGCTTGTTGAAAGAACTTCACTCCTCCGAGTTCACTCCATGTTCTCTATGCTGGGTATTAACCATGCTTATGTGACTGCCATTGGACGTCTAATAGGAGTGGTGGCTCTTAAGGAGGTCAGTCAATTGTATATTGGATTTTTTATGCTCAGATTTGTAAGAGAAAAGTTTTGTTGTTTGAAATGTTAGTTTTGGTGTGTAGAGGTATTAGATTTATTAATTATTATGTTTGACTGACTGGTGTGAATTCCTTGCAGGTCCGCAATGCTATTGATGGCCAGTACGTAGGTCAGACATCAAATCCAACCCCTCAAGTGAGCTCTCCCAATACGCCCACCTCCCCCATGCGCTCCACTCTTGTTTCAGGGACATCTCCTCAGAGACTTTCTACATTTAATCCCGTCAGCTTTTCCGACCCTGAGGCCGGCACGCTGTCCCACAGGGGCTCTAGGACTCAGTTGGTCAATTTTACAAATGGTACTTCACACAGCTGAGGAAGTAAGATTTTAGGAGATTAAGGAAATTGGTGGACACCCGTGAACTGTGATCTAAGTCGTGAACCTTCGTCACTTGTCGGCATCACCAGAGACATTGACACCTGATGCTGCATTATATCTATAGCATGAGATGGCATGTGATGACTGTTAATTACCTACTGTGGAAATTGACCAAAGTTGAGGACATTCCAGTATTTATTTTCAAGCAGTGCTCTTGACCATTTTGTGTTTCAGAACACTGTTATGACCCTTCTAGAGAGGAGTTAATAGATTTTCTGTTCGACTTCTTTGAAAATGGAAATATTTTCACCGAATAATTTCTGTGTCTCCAAGATATATGTGAAAATGGATATCCGAGAAAAGTTTTGTTGTTTGAAATGTTAGTTTTGGTGTGTAGAGGTATTAGATTTATTAATTATTATGTTTGACTGACTGGTGTGAATTCCTTGCAGGTCCGCAATGCTATTGATGGCCAGTACGTAGGTCAGACATCAAATCCAACCCCTCAAGTGAGCTCTCCCAATACGCCCACCTCCCCCATGCGCTCCACTCTTGTTTCAGGGACATCTCCTCAGAGACTTTCTACATTTAATCCCGTCAGCTTTTCCGACCCTGAGGCCGGCACGCTGTCCCACAGGGGCTCTAGGACTCAGTTGGTCAATTTTACAAATGGTACTTCACACAGCTGAGGAAGTAAGATTTTAGGAGATTAAGGAAATTGGTGGACACCCGTGAACTGTGATCTAAGTCGTGAACCTTCGTCACTTGTCGGCATCACCAGAGACATTGACACCTGATGCTGCATTATATCTATAGCATGAGATGGCATGTGATGACTGTTAATTACCTACTGTGGAAATTGACCAAAGTTGAGGACATTCCAGTATTTATTTTCAAGCAGTGCTCTTGACCATTTTGTGTTTCAGAACATGTTATGACCCTTCTAGAGAGGAGTAAATAGATTTTCTGTTCCGACTTCTTTGAAAATGGAAATATTTTCACCGAATAATTTCTGTGTCTCCAAGATATATGTGAAAATGGATATCATTGGTGACCTTCTGGCATTTGTTTTTAAATTTAGTGTGTTTGTAGTGAAATATTTATGACCTTAAGGAAAAGTATCCTTTTGTGCTCATAATGTCTATTTGATCCAAGTAGTATTAAAAATTAACATGTTATCCTACATATGAAAGGATAATTAGTCCTTCCATATATGTAGGGGTAAATAATGTCCATTTTTTATTTTGGTATTCAAATAATTAGTACCATAGTTTGCAGAATTTTTTTAACAGGGAACCATAGCAAGAGAATTTAAAAAATTGGAATGGTCACAAATATAGAGAAAATATACATGTAATGTATGTTGTAAACTAAGAAGCATATTGATTTCATAACCAGTCCAAAACCCTTTTTGAGTACATGCTTTAAATGTTAAAGCCTTGGACAAACTGAACTGCATTTCAGGGCCACTGTGGAGGAAGGCTTACTGTGATAAAAGTTACCAGAGCAATAGCTATGTACCATTCCTTACAAAGGATGAAATTATGATTTTACTATTATTATTACAATAATTACTTATTATTATTAATTAATATAATTATTATGATTATTATTGTTTCTTACTGCTCGTAACTATGCAATTATTTGTAATGAGTTCCTCTTAACTTTGCTTGTGTGATAATGGGATTCGAGCAAGATGCCCTCAATCTTAATTATATTACTAATGATTATATCATAAAATGTTCCTTTTATGAAGTTTCATGATATGATTTGGGAAATGCGTCATCTCATTACAGAAACATCGGCACAAATGCGTCTTTCACATCTTAGTCATTAAGCAACTTTTTTTTGGTAATATTTTTGTTTGTATGTCCATAAATGAACTTTGTTCATGTTACACAGTTCATTTCTAGATAATTTCATTACAGTGTACTCATGATGTATTAAGTACTTTAGTATATACGGATTAAATTTGTAACTTCTATATGTGAATCTCATATTTGTTATTACATGTGTATTATATAGAATTGTTTCATTTTCTCAAGCAGTCACCATCCTTCCCTATTTTTCCAGTCATTATAATAAAAGAGAGAAAGGTGGAAATAAGTAGCCTTTTTTTTTTTTTTTTTTTTTTTTTTTTTTTTTAATATATCTGCTTGTGTCGGCGCAATATAATCCAAATGCCCAATATGCAATTTCATGTGTGGAGGGATTCCTCTTACAGAATTTCCAAGCTTTTTTCCTAATACTGCTCTTGCTTTTATAAGGGAATGTGTTTTTATATTGTCATAAAAATGTTTTCTCACCCTGTAAATGTATACCCTTTTATGCAACCTTTCTCTTACCTTTTTCTTGTTTAAAACCTGGAAAACCCACCATGTTCTAATTCTTGGGTAGGAGAGCTCCAAATAATTTGTAGTGAATTCATGCAAAAAAAAAAATTGCTTTACAGGCTGCTTTGCAAGGTAGGTTAAACACAATGTAGGGTATCAAACACGAAAGCTTCTCTTAAATACTGAATCACAACATCCAGCATTATTTCAGTTTGTAATGCACCACTTTTGTGCTTTAGAACTATAAAGTTCTCAAATCAATTTGTGATGTCTTGTTGGTGCACGTAACGCTAATGCTTTGTTCTGTTCCTCAGAGCTTACTTCTTTTGGTTATTGTTGAGATCTCCATCAAGGCATTCGTATAATACACATTGACCTTAATTTTTGCTTTTTGACTTTATTTCCTTTACTTTTAGTATATTCTAATTCATGTATTAGTATTTTCTAATTCATGCATCCCTGTATTTACACACAAAGTGCTTATGTTATTACTTAGATAAGAATCATGTACTCATAAAATGTACAAGGACACACCATTCCCTCATTTTTCATGAACACAAGCATGTGTGTATGTATGAATGTTTTCTCTTAACCTTAGACTGTAATTGGGAAATGTCTTATTTATTATACCTATCAGACTTGCCTTCATAATTGTATGTGAATGATTGTTAAAGATTAACAGCATATTCTGTTTTGTTTAAGTTTCCCATCTCAGACATGGAAGAACCAGTTTTATACCCAGTGAATTGAACCATTGAAAAATTGTTGAGCCTTTAATACTGTAATAAATATTACAGTCAAAACATGTATATTGAAAAGTCAAAAGTGCCTCCTTATATAGTGTGATAATTTTCCCAATGAGGAATTCCTATAAATTTGGAAAATAGGGTTGATAAATGTGATAATAAAAATATGTAAACACTTGTTGCCACATCAGAGAGGAAGAATGTATGTGATAGAACATATGTTGGTATTTTTTTAAGTGACAACCTTTCATCTTTCTTAGTCATCTCACAATCCATGCTCAAGACTCATCGTCCCTTGATTTTAAGAACATTGATATCTTTCTAATTATTTGATTCTTTGATTTGGAATAGTGGACTGGGTGTATTTTTAAAACTTAGTATCTTATTCATTTAACATAATAAGACTGATGCTAGGTTTTCTTTGCTTTGAAAACCATAAAAATGTACACTTTGAGGTCAGGAACCTCTTTTTGCCACTCTTGACTGCCTGCAAATATTAAAACCACTTATAAAAAAGAGCATTTTTAATTGAGACAGAAAATGGCTGTTTAAATGGGTTTCAGTTTTCGCAGGTTAATAAAAATCTGAGTGAGTGCTAGATCTCATGAGTCTGAAGTCCCCACAATTAAAATCCATTTAGCAACTTTTTCTTTCTTTCTTTCTTTCTTTCTTTCTTTCTTTCTTTCTCATATTTCCCCCCTCCTCCCTCCATCCTTCTCCCTCCTCCCTCCTACCCCTCTCAAGCAACTTTTCCTCCAAATTACATACTTTTCATATTTCTTCAAGTTGTGTCAGAGGCCTTTACAGGAGTATATTGTCTTCTGTCTTGTACTATCTTCAAATGTATTGTTCTGGAGTTACTATGTACTTTTTTAGCTGATATTTGGAATACTCTTGATTTCTAGTACATGATTATTGCAGTTGCTAAGAGGTGTTATCTGCATGGCCATTTTATTTAATGTATTAATTTAAGCTGAATGTGTCTGATGTTACTTGAAATGTTTTTGCAAAGCACTATCCTCTACATCACAGACCCCCTAAATATTCAACCTAAAAAATGATCTAGAAAATAAAGTGTCTCACAAAGTGTAGGCAAGCTGCATAATCATTACTGATGTATTACATTTGCAAAAATCTTTGGTAAAAGAAATATCCCTAAATGAATATGCTTTATAGCCCTACTCTCTGCAGGTTAATAACATGTTTAAAAAACTATCAATGGCATATACTGTTAGCTTGAGACATGCAAGAGATGCAGAACAGTGCTTTACTCTTAACATTGCAGTGTATACTATAATATCATGACCAAGAATTTGCAGTAATGATACACTCATTTTTCTCAGATTCCTTGAAATGTGGTTAAACTGAAGAGTGGTTTTATGTATATAACTTTGAGCACTAACAACGATCTGTATCTCGTGTCACATTCCCATTTCTGCTCTCTCTCTTTCCATAGCAGCCAGTTTGACTGTAGATCAGTGCTGATTCTGAAAACAAAGCTAGCTGCATTTATTTTTGCATTTTAAACTCATGGATGAGGTTTGTAAAGAATATATTGAAGTTCATCCTGCCTCACAGAGCACTTACAGCATATGAAAGACACCACAGATATGAGGTGCATACGTATATATGTATATATAAATAAATCTATACGAGTGATATGTACCCTTTGTGACATCAGTCATGTTTCTTACAATCACATGTCAGCTTATTTACCGCAACCCCATTTTGATGGTTGTATTTGCAAGCCTGTATTTTTTACTGAATTATCCAGCCCAGCTAAGCCTATTAGTTAAAAGGGTTATTCAGCTGATAAGAAAGAGGGGCTAGAATACTGTAGATAGCATGAATGCTCTTCCTCATGCTGTATATGCTCACCTTTTGATGGGTAAAACCATGATTGTTGGTGCTCGTCCACGTCTTTTCTTCGTCCCTGCAAACCATTTACAAGAGTACCGCCAGAGGGTTGAGCACAGGGTCATTTGTTTGAACCTGAGTGTTATTTTATTACTCATTACATTCTATGGCTTGCTAGATAAAGACTTTTGGGATTACCCTGTTTTATCTGTTTGTGGAATGAGTTTTTATTAACTTTTTTTTTTTTTTTTTTATTAAGAGATCATTCACTATGGTATATCATGTCTGTTTTCATACCAATAGAATGTT